CAGCTGGAGCCACAGCCACCCCTCCCGTGCCCTTGCACCCCTTTTGTACAGAATCCATGCAACTTGCTGGCCTCCAGGATGAGAAACACTTTAGGGCAGTGGTTCTCAAAGTCTAGTCCCAAGGCCAGCACAGCAGCACCCTGAAAGTTGATATAAATGTAAATTTTATTGGCCTTCACAATAACTCTAGGGGTGGTACCAAGCAACTGGGATTTTAAGAAACCTTTCTGAGGATTCTGGTGCACCTATGCTGGAATTGACCTACAAAATTTAAGGAGGCATTCACTTCCAGGTCCAGTCTGCATATGCATGCATTTGGAAATAGGGACCACCTTAAATTGGGTGCCCTAGGCACATCCTGTGCTTTTATCACTCTCTCTAGGCCCTGAGGCCAATGCTTTAGAAGAATTTAATGACCAGAGCCCCCTTGGCACCAAATTTTCCTAACGGGTGGTGAATGGTTTTCCAGGAGACAGCCCTCTCAATAAGTGGGGATCAAAGCCCAAGGGAGTTGTAGAGCTGTATATCTATGGGGATCCACCCCACAAACTACTGGGGATCCCTTGGCCATGGTGGGGGTTGGGGGAGCTTCAGAGGGAGACCTGGGCTTCTCCTGATCCCTTGGAAAGTAGAGTTAGAAAACTTTTCACCATGGGAATTCACATGGCAACATTTACTGTGTATCTGCTCATTAGACACACCCCTGAGCCCCTGCTTCTCACAGGCTCATGCTCAGTGCAAAGGAAGGTTTTATGAGCTTGGTTTTGCAAAAGAGAAAACAGATTAAAAGGACTCGTATGCATACACATGAGCATAACCAATGGACACAGACACTAGGGGGTGAGGGCATGTGCTGGGGGGTGGGAGTGGCGGGGGAGAGGTCAATGGGGGAAAAAGAAGACATATGTCATACTTTAATCAATAAAGAATAAAAATGGTTAAATAATATGTGTCATCCAAGTTGATGAGTAGTGGACTGGGAATTAAACAGGCTTACTATTGCTCAGAGTTGTTGAGAGTCACACTGGGCTTAATGGATTTCCTCAGGTTTGACTTCTACTTCCTCTCATGTCAGACAGCTGACTCATCAGCATCCCTTTGCTCCTCCCCACCTTGAACCCTGTCTCATATTTAAATTCTTAGACCACATTCGATGATTGTTTCTTTCGCCCTGAACTCCCATGGCTTGTACAGCTCTCAGCACATCTTATCTTACTCCAGTGTATATATGAGACTGCCTCACCCATTCATCCACTGCCCATCTGTAATGCCGAATAACTGAGGGTGTGATAAAGAGTGTGGAAGGAATAAAGCATTTATCGAGGGTGACTTGGCTCTATGATAATTTAGACTATCATGTCTTGCCTATCTCAAGTCCATACTGGAGGCATAGGCAGACCAGTGCAAGTGCATGCTGGGAGTGCAACCCTCTGGCACCAACTGTGATTCCTCCAAGGGTGCTTGGCCCCCTTCTCCAACCTGCCCTTGAACTGCCAGACACGGGGCAGCTCTGCAGCTGGAGCTTCTTAAAGCAAGCACCTTCCTGTTGCCAGAGCTCTGTAGCCAGGCCAGTGATGCCATGTCCTTTCTCCCCCAAGGCCAGAGAATTTGGGATTTGACAATCATTAAAATAAAAATTGTTATTTAGGTCCTTGGTCCCTAGGAAGGGACTCTTCCAGCTTCAACAAAAAGCATTGTTCCAAGGATGGTTTGTGAATTAATGGGTTTTATCAGGTGTGACTTCCACTTCCTCTCAAAGCATTGCCCAGGCTGGGCAAGCAGAGCTAGGCACCATCTCCAGGGAACATGCCTGAAGGACCCCCACTGGAGAAAGCTCCTACAATTTCATAACATTATGCGCTTCTTCTGTGCAGGCTACCTGGGTTTCCCCACTGTGACCAGCAGTAGGAGCCTTTGCATGTGAAACATGGCCGCATGGAAGGGGAGCTGGGAAGTCTGGCCCCTCTGCACAGCCTGGGAGAGCAGTCTGAGGGAAGGCAGGAGGGGTGGGTAGGGTGGCCTCTCGAGACCAAGGAGGAAGCCTGCATCTCCATACAGAGCCCATGAGGAAGGGGCAGAGAGGAGCCTGGTCTGGGAGAGAAGAGACTCTTAGACCAGATCAAAGGCTGCCCTCCATGAACTTTCCACACAAGAACACAAGAAAAACAGTCAGATTCCACTCCAACACCATCTCTGCCACCACAACCACCCCATCCTCAAGGGGCAAGATCCTTGAAGGCAAAGACTGAGCCTGCCCTTAAACCAGGCTTACGTTAATTAACATATTAAAAATAAAACACAAAACTCAGAAACCATGTCCCTTTCCAACAAATATTAATAAGTTCAAGAGATAATTAATTAAGCAAAACCTTTTACCATGGCTTTCCCTTCTGTTAGAGACACTGTCTGGCAAATGAAGAAAAACATACCATTTACCCACAAAACTAAGCACAATGCCTTATTATTGTACAATTAACCAAAACACAATTGTGTGTAATACAATTACATAGACTACAATCACACAAAAGTAATGATGCAGTGTAGATGGCAATGACTTTCTGTCAGCAAAAATGAGAGCTTCCTTGATTAGAAATTAAGGTATGGTTGGAGATTCCGTTGATAAATGCTTCCTCTATTGATCTACACTTTGCAAAAGCTAAGCTGCCTGACGGAGCTCATCATCAGTAAAGACTACAGGGGCGGCAGCCACTATGTGTAGTATCTTTTATGCTCAGGTCCCGACATGAGCACATTGTGGTGAAGCACACATTTTATTACCCAGATGTCTGGTCAAATAGGAAAAAAGACAGCCCAGCCGGTGTGGTTCAGTGGTTGAGCATCAATCTATGAACCAGGAGGTCATGGATGATTCCTGGTCAGAGCACATGCCTGGGTTGTGGGCTCAATCCCGAGTGGGGAGCATGCAGAAATGCAGAAGGCAGCCAATCAATAATTCTCTCTCATCATTGATCTCTCTCTCTCTCTCTCTCTCTCTCTCTCTCTCTCTCTCTCTTCCTCTCTCTCTCCCTTCCTCTCTGAAATCAATAAAAATATATAAGAAAAAAATATGAAGTTGAAGAGCCAGAAAGTCTGTGCCATTCAATGGCCATCTTGTGTGTTGTGGTATTAGCAGAGATACATTCTCATAAAGGTCCGCCAAATCACACTGGTCTTTCTGAGCATCAGAGGAGACTGATCTGTGTAGCTGACTTTGTGCTCACGAGAGGGACCTACTACTTCTCACTGTTTCCCCGGAATGGGACAGTACCTCAAGCTTAAGGATGGCTCTCCTCTAGCCATCTTTTTTACTATTCCCTGAGTACTATTTCAGTAGGCAGTCTTACTGCTGTCCTTTCTGATTTTTGCCTAGAGCATGAAGACAAATTCCATGGGCACTCAAAGTTCTTCATGTTAATACTGACCCCTGACCCCCATCTTTAACCATATTCTCACCATGTGCTGCCCCACAGTGCCCTGCCATCCTCACTGAGCTGTATTTTATTAAATCTAATATACCATTATTTGTAAGACATTCCACTATTTCATATGCCAATAAGATAAGTAAATGTTGCCAATTAAACTATTACTATCAGCTCTAAAATGTATCCAAATATTACAGATTTTAAAATGAATCTGTAATATTTGTATTGAATTGATGAAATACTTGCAAGCATGGCCCTTCCTATTTCTGTGCCATTTGACATACTGCCTACTGTCGACTCTTCCTCCACCCCTCCCCCCTCAGCCAGGTCTCCCTGTCCTATAAGATTCAGCTCAGCACACTTTCTGAAAACCGTATCGCCCTCATTCTCTCTGCGCCAGGCTAAGTTGCTGTTGCCATATGTCCTACAAATAAGGGTGACTTCTTGGTCATTTATTGCCCTTCACTGTAATGGCTAATTTATTTCCTGTGAAAATTGAGTAAAGACCCTATTTCACTAACACATAGGCTTGCAACTAACACGCATCATTCACCCATTTAATAGATTGTATTTTAACCAGGGCGAGTAGAATTAGAGAGAAGGAGGCAAGCACTAGAGAAGAAAAATGGGGAACATGACAAACCTAGTTGAAAATTCAGAATCAGCCGAAACCGGTTTGGCTCAGTGGATAGAGCGTCGGCCTGCGGACTGAAGGGTCCCAGGTTCGATTCCGGTCAAGGGCATGTACCTGGGTTGCGGGCACATCCTCAGTAGGAGGTGTGCAGGAGGCAGCTGATCGATGTTTCTCTCTCATCGATGTTTCTGACTCTCTATCTCTTTCCCTTCCTCTCTGTAAAAAAATCAATAAAATATATTAAAAAAAAAAATTTAAAAAAAAAAAAAAAAAAAGAAAATTCAGAATCATCCTTTTTAATTGTCTTCAGTGTGTCTTTGAATCTAGAAACTTCCAATGTAAGAGAAGCCAGATCCCAGGAGAAAGAGAGACACAGAGCTCCTGCTGGATGTGTGGCTGCAGTGAATGTGCGGGTTCTCCCTGACAGAGTCTGGTCTCTGCTGAGCCCCAGAAGAAAAGACTGAGGGGCAGTGACTGCCAAGGCCAGGCTCTGGGCCTGTCTGTGTACAGTGGGCACTACCTACCCTATACTCTAGGGTCCCAGAGGGCCCGAGGCTCACCTCCTGCGAGAGGACACCCACTGCACTGAAAAACAAGATGGTTTAGGAGGAAAAAGTGATTCCTCCCTCCTCTCCACTTTACTCTTAACTTCAAAGTCATCAAGTGGCGTTTATGCACAAAACTTTAATCCTTTCACAAATTTGTAGTTTGATTTAACTTGCATATCTCATTTACTGCAAGTCAACATGAATAGAGACTCAACTAATTTAAACCGTTTTTCTCTGGATCTGAAATCATTTCAGAGATATTTTCCATTAGGCAACTCAATTATATCTAAAGTGGCTGAAGTCCGTGGATTAGAATTTTGCTTAAAGAACACATATTTAGAACAGTGAGAATGGGAAGAGGGGGTGGGAGAACAGAGGAGATGAGGCAATAATTACCTGTCTTTGATGCTACACAGATCAATGTGTAAATCACTAAAATTCCCCAGGGAGCCTTGCTGAACTGAAATGAGGTCCTTGGGCTGGTTATCAATAAAGATGAGCCTCATGCAGCCTTGGAAAGCCTCGATAGGATTTAAGCATTGGGGAGCGGTGAGATTGTCAGGGCAGCCTGTGGGACAGAGAAAAAAAATGAGGAACACTGGGATGATCAGTCATTGCTCTGGCGACCTATCCATGGGAGACCTTGAGGTCTAATTATTGTGGTGCTTTTTCACTCACAGAAGTGCATACAGTTTAGTTGTAAATCCTAGCATTTTCAGAGAGGAGACAGAATAGGTTCAAAAGGGGGCAACCTCCATCACTGTACAGAGCTAAAACCAAAAGTATGGAAGGGACTACCAATGCCGTAGCATGCATCTCATTCTTCATTTTTCCCTGCATCAGCTGTGTGCCAGTCTTCTGCCTGGGACACTTCACTCATTTCAAGAACACGGCACGTTATCACTACCCAGGGATGTCGACTCTGTCCTGAAACACACTTCGAACTGCACAATTCAATTCTGGATTAACTTTCAAAGGAAATTATGCTTTGGGTAAGGATGGTGACAGAGTGATTATCTGGTTAATTGTCAGCATTAACAGACTAAATGCACCTGACAAAGGTACATGTAGAAACATAACTGGAATTTTGAAGTGTTGTGCAAACTAAATCCAGACACTAAAGGGACTAAGGGTTTAAATGCACACAGTTATTGGCTGTAATAGCAGGCACGAAAGGTTAACACCATACATTTTTACAAAGGTGTTCTTTTAAAAACAATGCATAATGTATATTTAGCATAGCCTGCCACCTGGGCATCTACTCCTCATCAAGACAGGTAGAGAATGAATAGGTATATCAGTGCTTGAGCACCTTATAAACTACATCCTAATTGTCTTAATAGGTTCAGACCATATGGGAATGCAAGCTTGAAAACATGGCAATAACCCATAAATAACTGGGAATTATTTCCGCCATCTCTAATAGACAGTCACTGCTGGGCTGAAGTCTGGCAGCTGGTTAACAGCCCACAAGCACACACTATAAAGTGAAGAGAAATGTTACGACTTCTAATTGAGGCTGTAGAGAGAATTTATGTAAGTTGACTATTATTACTCAACCTCGTTTTTTACCTTCCTTAAGTTTACAGTCTACTTGTGGGACATTTTTTTCAAATGCTGCTCAAATCACAGATTCATCTTTACCTTCTGAGTGCAGTGCCCTTAAGAATCACCTCCAGGAATACTTCTTCAACTGGGGCAGGGGGCATTTTTACTTTGAGGAATTCAGGTGCTACACATCATAATTACTGCTCAGCACTTTTCAAAATAATAAATACGAGATCACTTTTCTCTCTGTTAGAAGCATTGCATGTGATGCAAAATTATTCGCTTTTGTGCTACATGCGTTGGCATCCCTTTGCTGTAGGTTGTGGAGAACACAGATCTGGGGGTGAATCCTGGTTCTGCTACTCACACAAATTATTTCATCTAAGCAAACACCACTCTTACTTTCTGTGAATCAGGGCTACTGTTACCTACTTCACAAAGTCACCACATGAATTAAGTGAGCTAAAACACTTGCAGAGAACGGAAGTGTTCTCCCTTTAAGGACTTTGTTGTCATGTACACGTGGAGGAGATGTAGAGTGAGGGACAGAGTCCCTTCCCGAGGCCCTAAAATCAAAGCGCAAATAGTTGATGGCTCCACTGCTTCCCTCTTGGGACACCCCCATGTGTGTACTGCTTCTGTGCAAAGTATCTCTTACATTTCAAAGCTTAATCACATGTCAGTGGTCTGAGAAAAGTGATTTGTAAATTCTATTGGAGACTGCACTTTATGATTTTACACACCATTCCTCTTCAGTTTCCTCATGGAAAAAGGATTGGTAACCATAGACCAGACTCAGTCCATGCCTATATTTACAAAGTCTGAAGCCAGTTTGTTCATTCCTTGCCAGATGGGAAGCCCTGTGTTAGGCATGTAAACCTTGACCCCAGGGAACTGTCCCAACAATTCTGCTCTGTCTCTCATCGCCTAGATGGGGAAGTTCAGGGCCCATAAGTGTCTTGCTCATGGTCAGACAGACACTGAGGTTAATTGCTCTTTAGAGATGGTTTATAAAATATAAACACATGGGCAGAAAGTTAGGTATTATTTTTCTTAATGAAGGAAATTCCTTGAAAAAGACTAAATAAAAATATATCTGCACCTATAAAAATGCAGTAGGTGGCTAATTACATGTATGCTTGTGTTTTTATTTTTTAAAATCTTTACCTGTTTGCTTGTTGTATATATATATATATATATATATATATATATATATATATATATATATTGACTTCAGAGAGGAAATGAGAGAAAGAGACAGATAGAAACATCAATGATGAGAGAGAATCATTGATCAGCTGCCTCCTGCACGCTGGGGTTCGAGCCTGCAACCCAGGCATGTGCTCTTGACTGGGATCCTTCAGTCTGCAGGCCAACGCTCTATCCACTGAGCCAAACCAGCTAGGGCTGTTTGCCTGTGTTTTGCTGTAGAAAAAGCTCCGAGGATTCACCCAATATTGGAGAGGGTGGCGTCTCTGGCTGCTCCACAAGGAGCTACTTGCTCATGGGCTTCCTAGGTCTTCCTCATGGGCATGGCTCCAGGGAGGTGGGGACCGAGGCAGTAGGTGCTGGAGGAGTGGCCTTGTGGGTGAGCGTGCTGGCTGTGCGTTCTCCCCTGGATACTTCCTCTTTCAGGCACTGCTGACTATTGGTGCTTTCTCCAAGTTTACAGCTGAGTTTCCCCTTTCGAATGTGATCAGGGAGCCTGCTGGGCTATAAAAAATCTCCTTTGGATGAGTTACATAACACCAGCTCTTATTGCTAGTCTTTTTTTCCTCAGCACTGACCTAGATAATTTATATCTGCACAGCTGTGAGAGGGCTTGCTTCCTGTTATTTTGGGCTTGCGGGTGGGTGTTTGTGTCTCTATGTATGTTTGGGGAGGTGGCACCTGTGTGAGCGAGTGTGTGTGAATATGTGTGTGTTGGAAGTATGGTCTAATTGACAAAAGAAGAATCATCATAGTAAAATAATTGCCCACTACATTCTCCCTCTTTCCTTTATTTTCAGCCTCAAAGCTGAGTAATTTACCTCCAAAGTAATAGCTATTTCCAGAATAAATCTGTATCTGGCTGGTGTCCTGAGCAGGGGACGCTGCATCGTTATCCAGGGTGAGAGTGATGCGGTTCCGCCTGGCGTTGATGCTGACTGAATGCCACAAGCCATCATTCAAGTTGCTGCCTGCAAGAGAAACGGGGAGAGCAGGTGTTGGGATGAATGGCTGAGAGCTCAGGGAGGGGGCCCGCTCCTTCCCGGCCACGGTCCCTATGCGTTCTCTGAGTGGTTCCCACTCATCATTTCCCTCAAACCAAACCCTCACAGGGTTCATTTTTCTTTCTCTTTTTACCACTTATTTCTATTTTTAAGTGGCCGAACAACTTCAGCTGCTTGCTTTAGGAATAAAGGGGGAAAACATAGATTTGTATGTAAACTACAACCAAGGGCACAGAATACATTAATTGATCCCTTGAGATATAAATGCAGAGCAAAATGCTGAAAACAAAAAAAAAGTCTCAAAATGTTCCTGGTGGTTTTATCTCTGGGTTGTCAGGTTACAGGCATTTTTTGTTTTCTTATATTTTTCTACTAATGCATATGTAAATAAAGTATTTTTAAAGGCAAAGGTAGAAGAGGAAAGCTGGAGCCGGATTTGTGTGCAGGCAGAGGAGGTCTCCTGTTGGAGAGGTACAGACGAGCCAGTTCCCACCTCCCCTGGCCCCTGATAGGACACTGGCTGTGTGACCAGCGTGCCTGAGCTTTGGTTTCATTGCCTGCAATGCCATCATTTCTCCTCTGTGTCACTGTTAAGGGGAAGAGTTACGATCAGGCCTGGGCCAGATGGCGGCATAGTAGGTATAAAGTTCATTCCTCTCTTGTTCTTTGGCTTAGATGTCTTTGGTGCACACTACATTGCTGGCCGACCTTACTAAGGAGACTGTGTTGGAAATTAGTCATGAGGGTAGCAGTTATTTCCTCCAAAAGTTTGTCATCTGTGAAGGCTTTGCTACTGCAAAGGGCTTGCTGAAGATCACAGCCCCATAACCAGATGAGTCGCCATGGTTGTCTATACAAGAACAGAGAGCCACACATTTCTACACACTCATGTATTCTATCCTGCTTCCTTTACTTTGCCTCAGTTTCCTCTCCTGCAAAATGGGCATAATGGTTACACTTATAGGGTATTGTTAGCAGAGCAGCATATGTCGAACAGTTTATATCACGAAATAAGAAGATAATGTTAAAACAAATGGGCACACAGTGACTACAAGACAGTCCCTGCACTGACGCGTGTAGACACTGACCTCGCATGGCCTCTGTCCTGGGTAGGCCATGGTTAAGAGAAGAGACATATGCAAAGTGGATAAAAGCCCCGTCCTTTGAGTGTGTCAGGCTAGCAGTGGTCGGCAAACTGCGGCTCGGCAAACTGCGGCTCGGCAAACCGCGGCTCGCAAGCCACATGCGGCTCTTTGGCCCTTGAGTGTGGCTCTTCCACAAAATACCGACTTCTGTGCATGGGCCACGAAGTTTCAATCGCATTGTACGTGTGCGCCCGCACATGGTATTTTGTGGAAGAGCCACACTCAAGGGGCCAAAGAGCCGCATGTGGCTCGTGAGCCGCGGTTTGCCGACCACGGGTAGTGGGACAGGCAGTGAAGCAGGCTCTTGCAATTCTAGGAGAACAGTGAATGCGTGGCCAAGGGGAAAGAAGGAAGACCTAACCAACTCCATGTGAGGACCCTAACAGGCTTCATGAAAGAGGGGGCAGCAGTTTAGGAATTCACAAAAGAGAGGGTAGCTGTTTAGGAATGCTTTGGAAATGAGCAAGAGTTTGCCACTCCCAGAGCCAGAGTTCCAGGAGACGCAGAGCCTGCACAAAGAGCAAGGCCTTGTGAGAGGCCGGGAGAACAGCAGGAAGGCAGGTGCAAAGAAGACACTCACCCTGGGTCCCCGCCTGCAGCGCTAAGGAAGGGGTTTCAACAAAGTGCTTTGACACGTGGTTCTGGAGGCTACTTTACCCAAGCCAGTTCTGTCAGAATCTCTGAGGATGGAGCCCTAGGCATTTGCTTTTTAAAAAAGCATCCATGGGTGATTCCAATGTCCAGCCAGGAATTAAAATCACTGTTTTAGAATGTGGGAGTCCATGGGCTTCCTTAGCATGGGAATTATCTGGCTGGAGGGACATATTAAAAGACTCTGCGAGCTAAGAGGAGACAGGTTAGAAGCGGGACTGGTGGGGCCTATTGCTTGCACAGCCCCAGGAGACAGAAGGATGAGGTCTCAGCCAGAGTAACAACCGTGAAAAGGGGCAGTAAGGGGTGGATTAAGATCTATTCCCTGAGGAAGAAGAGATCAGACTTGGGAGAGCCTTCTGGGAGAGATCAGACTTGGGGGAGCCTCCAGGGGGAACCAGCTAGAAAGAACAAGTTCGAAATTGGAACAGAGGTCTACAGGCTCCTTGGGACAACCACTTACATGCTTGTGCCTGAGCCCTGGATGTCTGGGGAAGCTGCCTGGGAGAGCACAGCACAAGGCTTCAGGTCCAATTCCATGGCGATGGGCAGCTTGTCCCACCTGCTCAGAACAGCCCAGATGGAGGGCCCCTCCTGCATTTGCAGCCGCTCCCTGGCAGCCAGTCTTTCCGGCAGCCCTGAACACCTATGGGGTGAAGAGGAGAACCCAGGGGCTGCTCATCCTGGTCCCCTACCTTCCCCCAAAGCCCAGCGCTGGGCCCTAACCACAGGGATTCCTCTGATGAGGTGGATGGTCTGTCAGGTGTTTCCTGGGGATGAACATTTGAATACTCTCAGGGACATAGCCAGCTTTAGGTCCTCACTTTTAACTTCATTTGCATAGTAATTTAAATACATCAGCATAACATATGAGGCTGCATTTGCGGACAGACTATTGACTGTTTGGGTTGGGGGTCAGGAAGGAGTTCAACAAAGAGGGAGTAAATAGGCCCTAAGGGCCCAGCACCCTGCTGGCATCAGCTGCCCTGCAGTAGGAATTACACACAGAGGCCACAGGAAGTGTCCGTCTAATTAGGGATACGTTCTCTAATTACATCACAGATGGACCAGGCTGAAGAGCAAAGTCTGCTCAGTGAGGTGGCAGGGCCAGAGCATCAGCATGATTCTGGGTCTTCTCCCAGTCCCACATCACTATTCAGTTTGTTTTTTTTTTTCTTTAAATTGTTTTAATTTTTCAATTAAAGGTGACATATAATATTAATTATTTGTTTCATGTGTACAACCCAGTGATTAGACACTATAACTTACTAAGTGATCATCTCCACAAATCAGGTGCCCATCTTACACCGTATATGGTTATTAAGATATTCTAAATATGTTCCCTATCCTGTAGTTTAATCCCTGTGACTATCCTGTAACCACCAAATTGTTTTTCTTAATCTCATTACTTTTTCACCAATCCCCCCAATCCCCTCCCATCTGCCAACCATCAAAACGTTCTTTGTTCTATGAGTCTGTTTCTGTTCAGCTTATTCATTTATTTTATTTTTAGATTAAATTTTTAATATATTTGTACTTATTACCATTTTATTATCTTTGTTTTCATCTTACCTTCTTCTTAAAGAAGACCCCTAATTAGACATTCCTTGTACTACTGCCTTGGTGGTGATGAACTCCTTTAGCTTTTTCTTATCTAGGAAGCTCTTTATATGTCTTTCTACTCTAAATGAAGCTTCACTGGGTAGAGTAATCTTGGTTATCGGTCCTTGCTTTTCATCACTTTGAATAATTCTTGCCAATGCCTTCTGGCCTGAAATGTTTCTGTTGAAAAATTAGCAGAGTCTTATGGGAGCTCCCTTGTAGGTAACTAACTGCTTTTCTCTTGCTGCTTTTATGATCCTCTCTATAACCTTTGGTATTTTAATTTGATGTCCCTTGGTGTGGACCTCTTTGGGTTCATCTTGTTTTGACTTTTCGGTGCTTCCTGGACTTGTATGTCTAGTTCTTTCACCAGGTTAGGGAAGTTTTGTTGTCATTCTTTTCTCAAATAGGATTTCAATATCTTGCTCTCTCTCTTTGCCTTCTGTTACCAACATGATGTGAATGTTGGTACACTTGAAGGTTCCAGAGGCTCCTTAAACTATCCTCATTTTTTGGATTCATTTTCCTTTTTGCTGTTCTGGTTTTTTTTTGTTTTATTTTTTTTTTGTTTTTTTTTGTTTGTTTTTTTCTGCTTCCTTATCTTCTAAACCTCTGATTTGATCCTCTGCTTCCTCTACTCCACTGTTCATTCCCTGTAATGCATTCTTCATTTCTGTTAATGTATTATTCACTTCTGACTGGTTCTTTTTTACGTTTTCTAGTTCCCTTTTTATTACCTATCTCTTTGTTGAAGTTCTCACTAAAGTTATCTACTCCTTCCCTAAGTCCACAGAGTATCCTTATAACCAGTATTTTGAACTCTGCATTGAGTAGATCATTGAGTAGATTGCTTGTCTCCATTTTGTTTAGTTCTCTTTCTGCAACTTTGTTCTGTTTTTTATTTTTTATTTTTTTTATTTGGGACATATTTCTTTGTCTCTTCATTTAGGCCACCATGCTGTGTTTGTTTCTATGTACTAGGTAAAGCTGCTATGTTTCTTGAGCTTGGTAAGTGGCCTAATGTAGCAAGTTTTCTGTAACGTCCATCATCACAGCTTCCTCGATCACTCCAGCTGTCTACTCCAATCCCCCAACCAATGCACATCCTATTGTGGTTGAGCCTTGATTGCTATTGGCATATCAATAGGAGGAATTTACCCCCAGGCCGATTGGCTGTAAGGACTGGCTTTGAGCACCATGGAGGGTCACCCCACTGAGCAGGACTTAGTTCAACAAGACTCCTGTGCCCTTTGAGTGTCCCTGTGGAGGTGGTTGGGTGGTACTTTGACATGGCCTGAAGCTTTCCACCATATATGCTGACTCTGAGGCCTCCCAGGAGGTTCAGGCCAAGTCAGTCAGCACCGTCTGTGTTCTGCCTGAGGCCATCCAGCATGAGCTAAAAAGCAATCTGCAGATGGCTGTTACTTGTGCTGGGCTTTGAGGTTCCCAAGAGAAGCCAATTTGCAAACCAACGTTGGCTGTCACTAGTGCCAACCCTGGGGCCGCTGAACAAGAGGCAAGGGACAGGCCAAGGCTAGATGCTGGTTGTTTGAAAGCTTAAGAAAAGTC